GAGGCAAAAACTCTACATAAAATCCAATTCCATAAATAAATTCAAACACGACACTTCCTTTTGTTTATATTAATAGTAAACTACTTATGAAAAATTGTTAATATTTTTCCTGGTAGTATTAGAAAGGAATAAAGAAGTCATGCAGTTAATATTTAGTTTCTTTACTCTCTGCCAAAGACCATACGAGGTGTCAGGGATGAAAAAATATAAGATATGCTCCAACCAGCCTAATTGATATGCCAGCAAAATACATAAACCATATAACTACAGTAGAATGTGATAAAATACAAGAGAAAAAAAGGCATAAATGGACACGGAGTCATGACAGCATGAAAGCATTAACAATTCTGCCTCCACTTTCCTATAAAGCTCTGTGAAGACAGGAGCCATGTTTGTCCCATCAGTGCTGGATGACCACTAGCTCCTAACATAATGTCAGGTATACATTAGATGTTCAATAAATGTCTGCTGACTAAAACAGTAAAAGAAGGAAAGCTTCTTATAGAAAGTGACAACTGAGATGAGCATTAAAACATCAGTAGGAGTTAAAGAGGAAAAAAGTATTCTTGATAGAAGAAACAGAATAGAAAACATCCGCCTTTTACCCATTTATGTTAATTAGCATTCAGCATTTTACTCTAAAATGTATTTACTACAAGCAACATTTACCTAGCCAAAGATTTCCGAAATGAATATTATCATTCTGAATAAACAGACAATAAAGTACCAAGAACTCCAGTATCCACAGCATACTTCTCATTAGACTTTGCTGTGAAGACCTCTCACAAGACTACTTAAAGTCTTATGAGAGGTATGTTACCTCAATCATAGCAGTGTAAGCTTAATCATAACCATCACAAATAAAACCAAACATAATAGCTATAAAAATAATTTATAACCAAAAATAAAATGGAATAAAGAAAATTTTAACCAAACATGATTTTAAGTTGGACTTAAACTTCACTTTAAAATTAATTTAATAAAATTTAATAAAGAAATGTTTACAACAGTCACATACTCAAGAAACAACATGAGCCAAGGCAGAAATAAAGTAATTTTATGCCTTAAAAAAATGTAAAAAAATGCAGTTATTAGATTAAATCTGCTACAATATGTTATACCCAGTTCTGAATGTGTAACATTTTGAGTCAGACTTCAGGTCAAAGATAAACATTAGCTGTAGCTTGGTCAACCAGCCTTTTATTAGGTGACAAGCATTTTCTTAAAAGGCCTGATAATAGGTATGTTAGGCTTGTGAGCCACATAGTCTCCTCTTAATTATTTAACTCTGCTACTGAAAGCAGCCACCAACAATACATAAATGAATGAGTGTGGCTGAGTTCCAGTAAATCTTTACTTACAAAAACAGGTGGCTGGCCCATGACCATATTTGTCAACCCTGTCCTGCAATCTAAAAGTGACTTCTCACTAACTCTTTTCATCAAGTCAGCTTTACTCCCTTTCAAACACTTTCACATAAACTGTATTAGTGTTTCATTAAAGCCTCCACATATATCAATGAGGCAAACATAACAGATATTCTCTTGTTTTATAGATTAAGAAACTGAAGCTAAAAGGGGCTGATTTGACCTAAAGACTTCTAAGACCTGAGACTAAAAACCAGGCCTCTGTTCCTTTTCTAACGCTTAACCGAATCTTCCAATGCCCCAAATGAAACATTTAAATCATTTGTAAAATCCTCTGCTGAACCCCTGAGTTCTTTTTAGCAGACTCAGCCATTCACAATAGACTAAGAATACCTGCTCATCTGTCTAATTAAATTATTAACTTCAATTCTGAAGTTAATTCAAATCCTTCTCTCTTTACATGATCCCAATCTTCCTCCATTTAGGCTATCTTGCTATTTACAAGTCTCCTAAAATATTATTTAATCTTCAAATCACCAGCAAGAAAAAAGGCAGTACATCTCCTTAAGGAGGTATAAATTATTTTAATCATTTAATAAGAATTTGTGAACTCAGTAATCAAAATATGGTAAGAGGCCTAAGTGCTTAACTTTGCAAAGCTTATAATCTAGTTGAGAAATACCAGATGCATAAATATGAAACTAAGGAGTGACTCCATGTAACCTAGGTCAAATCCAAAAAATTTAAAACAAAGAAGAAATGAAAAGATGTAATTTACAGAACACATTGTCATAAAATACATGCCTTACTTGCTCTTGACACCACAGAAATGCCCTAAATGTTGTATAATGAAAGTTTAACAAATACTAAATACCTACAGACACCCATTTGATGTAGTAATAGTATAGTCCAAAAGTTAAAACTAGATCATCTTTTTTTTTTTCAGACAGAGTCTCACTTTGTCACCCAGGCTGAGTGCAGTGGCATGATCTTGGCTCAGTGTAACCTCCACAATTCTTCTGCCTCAGCCTCCCGAGTAGCTGGGAGTACAGGCGTGCACCACCATGTCAGGCTAATTTTTTGTCAGTAAAGACAGGGTTTCACCATGTTGGCCAGGCTGGTCTTGAACTCCTGACCTTATGATCCACCCACCTTGGCCTCTCAAAGTGCTGGGATTACAGGCGTGAGCCACCACACCCAGTCCACATTTTTTAAAAATTATGGGAGCTGAAGGTTTTCTTCTGTTTTATTCTAGTCATTGCCATGAAAGAATGTATACTGGACTAACTCCCCAGCCAAAAACATTGTTGAAGACAGCTGAATTACAGGACATGCCCTCACTTTGCATGGCAGTATGGGACTGGAGAAGTAATCATGCAAGTTGAAACTAAGCAAAGTGATCTTAATAACTAATGGGTACAATTATGATTGTTCTACAATCTTTAAAAAAATGTCAAAACATTAAACTCTTACTGTTGGTTATAAATGTACACTAGAGGCTGAGCATGGTGGCTCATGCCTGTAATCCCAGCACTTTGGGAGGCCAAAGCGGGAGGATCATTTGAGGCCAGGCGTTCAAGACCAGCCTGGCCAACATGGCTAAACCCTGTCTCTACTAAAAATACAAAATTAGCTGGGCATGTTAGCACACGCTTATAACCCCAGCTACTCAGAAGGCTGAGATATGAAAATTGCTTGAACATTAGAGGCGGAGGTTGCAGTGAGCTGAGATTGCGCCACTGCACTCCAGGCTGGGTGACAGAGTGAAACTTCATCTCAAAACAAAACAAAACAAAATAAAACACCACAATAAATCTACACTTGAAAATAAAAAGTTGTTTAAAATGCTAATATTTATTTAGTACATTATAATTTAACACATTAGAAACACTGAGAACTAAAGTGTTTTATTTTTAAATTTTATTTAATTATCATTTTTTTAAAAACAGGGTCTCACTGTGTCACCCAGGGTGGAATGTGGTGGCATGATCACGGCTTACTGTAACCTTGAACTCCTGGGCTCAAGTGATCCTTCTGCCTTAGCCTGACTAGGAATGCAGGCACATGCCACCACGCCTGGCTAAGTTTTAAATTTTTTGTAGAGATGGGGTCTTGTCATGTTGCCCCAGCTGGTCTCCAACTCCTAGCCTCAAGTGATCCTCCCAGTTGGGCCTCCTAAAGAGTGCTGGAATTATAGGCCTGAGCCACCACACCCAGCCAAAAGCGTTTTCTTTGTAAAAACCTAAGAACTATAGTTTGAAGAGAGCTTGCTTTATCAACATATAACTTATGGGCAAGCATCTTTCCTATGCCTTGGTGAACTGAAGTCATTCTTTCTACATTTTAATCAACTCCTAGCATGTTATTATTTGTATTTCAATATCATAAAATGTCTGAGAGTTACTTTAATATGAAGTTTTTATAGCAACACTTCCTTTGGGACATCTTCGTCCTTTTGTCACAACTACGTTCCTTATTTATGTCAATACGTTCGCCTTTACTGCATTTAAGTTCCTCAATAAGAAGTTCCCTTGGTTGCATATCTAGTCTCTTGAAGGTTGCATATCAGCCATGTCAACACTTCCAAAGTCAGCTATTGCTTCTATAACTCTTTCTATTCAAATTTCATTCCCAACATTATCAGCTTGTTTCTTTGTTGCATTTTCATCTCTCTTAGCCAATTCCCTTTTTCAATTACCCATTTTTATAAAATGTTACATGGGCTTATTGCTGGAGACAAGAAGGCAACACAACTACATGCTTTGCCATCTGTGGGTAAAATGAATAACAGAAAGGAGAGGCCAATCACTGACAGACATGCAAAGCAGTGGCATAATTTATCACTGATCATAAGCTCATCTGTTGTTATGTAATGATTCCTGGACTAAACTAGCAATGACGTTTGCATTTAATGTAATTATGTACAGTTAATATATCATGGTAATTGAAATTTGAACCATACACTTGGGGACCTGGTGTTATGTAACTAAACTATGGTAACTGAAATTCATGCATACTGGAACCATGGAAAGGGAGGACTATCTGTACATAAAACAACTGTTTAAAGACACTAGAGGGTGATCAATGCAGGCAAGATCACAGAGTTATATTCTCCGAAACGTGAAGAATACAGAGATGAGCACCACATTCCACTTAGCTTTTTCCTTGAGAGTATTTTCTAAACCACAGCAAGGAAAAAGGGAATTGAAGCACAAAGCAAGTCTACTGTCCTGAGAAAGCAGAGGTTGGAGTTCAATCCCCACACAAGTGGAGGTATCTTCGTATACACCCAGGATTTTCCATTTTGTCCACAGAAAGGTCATGCCTGAGGAATAAGAACCACATTCTTAGAGTAACGGCACTTCGTTCAGAAGCTAATCACGAGTTTAAACGACATATGCCATATGTTAGGGGCTAAGCAATCAGTATAATGCTAGGGAATCCAGGAACAGAGGGACACTGAAAGCAGGATGTAAGGAATGACTAAAGTAGTTTCTGTGCAAATCTGGGCATGGAGGCTAAAATTTAAACTTGTACTACCAATTCTAAAATGTATCAATTACTCACAGGGTTATGGCTGTATCATATTTTATAAAGTGGTATTCCAAAATTAAACAGTATTATTATATTTACCATTTTGTAATCCCATCCAAAGCTGTTTGTGATCTTTTTTCTGCATTTCATTGATTACTTGACTTTTATGTTTTAAAGCATCAGCTTCTTTCATACATGACATAAAATGAGCTTCAATTGCATCCTTGGATGGACAGTGCAGAAGGTCTTTTTCTGGAAAACTCTATCAAAGGAAAAAAATATACATATAAAACAGGTAGACACATTACAAAATTAACCTCTTAAAAGAGCACTATATCCCCTAGTTTTTCAATTTTCTAGTAAACCATCTCTTAGCACTACAATAACTCAAAATATTTTTAAGTTTAACTTAAAAATCTTTAGCTATCTAGCCCATTTTATACTTTTCCCAAATAATTCTTAGGTGTTTTGTGACAACATGAAAAAAGCCATCAAAAGGTTAATAATTTGGAAAAATAGCTTTTCAACTGATCATACCAAGTATTGGCAAAGATGTGGAATACAGCCCTCACTTTCTACTAGCAGAAATGTAGAATAATAGTATAACCACTTTGGAAAGTCTGGTAAAAAGAGCAAACACGCACCTACCATCTGACCCAGCCATTCCACAACTAGGCATTTACTAAGAGAAATGAAAGCATTATGTCCATATAAAGACTTGCCACATGACTATTCACAATACTTTTATTTGTAACAGCCCCAAACAGGAAACAAACCTAAATATCAACAGGTAAATCAACATGTAAATTGTGGTAAAAACTTAATCACTTTGAATATGTAAAGCTTACTGTAAGTCAATTTAGATCTCAATAAAGCTGTATAAAAGTAGATTTTAAAGTCAAATAGCTAAATTTACACTCTATAACTTCACTGATTCTTTTAGGCAGCTAAAGAAATGATCATTGGACATATAAGGAGTTATGCAAATGAGAGGACTGATGCACATTTCACTGAAAAAAAGGATAATAACAGCTAACAGTTACTGTGATACTGTATTAAAACTTTTTATGTGGATTATCTAATTTAATCCTCACAACACTTGAGGTAAACATTATTATCGCTATTTTACAGATGAAAAAAAATTAAAGCTTAGGGAATGTCTAAAGTTTCGAGTGTCATTCAGCTTGCTAGTCATGGAGCTAGGATTTAAAGCTAATTTGACTCAAGTCCTATCTTTTAACCACTATAGAGTATCACTTCCTCCAAAGACTTACATATTTAAGATAATCATTATATTCAAACATGATTTTACAGTTATTATCCTATATATCCTTTAATAAAAAGAGCTAAAAATGGCACACAAAAAAAGCAGCATTTAGTTATAGCCTACTAAGCCTATTTACAAACAACATTCAATTATCCCTGTCATGGAGCTTTGATACAAGAATGAAATGAAATGATAAGGAAAGAAGCTCCTGAGTAACTATGAAACACTGATGGGAAGCAGGAATTAGAGAGAAAGCGGTTAAATATCATTCCTCATCTTGCTCTAATAAACTTTTTAAAATAAGTCAAATTTATGATTCATATACAGTGAAATGCAGAAATCAAGAGTACAATTAAATGAGTTTTGACAATGAGTAACTGTCAGCCCAAGTCTAGAGCATTTCCATTACCCACAAAAGTTCCTCTGTGCCTTTTGCAGTCAGTTCCCTCATTCCCATCCCAAGAAATCACTAATAACGATGTACAACACCAGATTAGTTTTGCCTGTAATAAAATCTCATATAAACAGAATTGCAGTATTGTGTAATTCAGCATCTTTCACTTAGCATAATACTTTTGAGATTAATTCGTGTTACTGCACATATCAGTAATTAATTCCTTTTTGTTGCTGAGTAGCATGCCATTTAATGAATACACTACAATCTGCTTATCTAAAAACTTGTTAATAGATACTGGGATTGTTTCCAGATATCGGCTATTATTTAAAAAGCTGCTATGAACATAATTCACAAGTCTTTTGTAGAAATATGTCTTCATCTTTCTTGGGTATACAGCTGGAAAAAGAAATGCTGCGTCACAGACTAAGTATATGTTCTAACTTTACTTAAAAACTGCCAAGCTATTTGTTAACATAATGTACGATTTTACACTCCCACTAGCAATGTATGAGAGTTCTGGTTACTCCATGTCCTCAAACTTGGTACTGTCAATATTTTTTATTTTAGTCATTCTAGTGAGTTTAATGCAATGTCTCTTTGTGGTTTTAATTTACATTTCCATGATGACTAAAGATGTTGAGTGTCTTTTCATGTGCTTGTTGGTAAATTCACGTATGTTCTGTGAACTAAGTTTTTTGCACTTGTTTCAAAGCAACTACTAGGGAACAAGTTGAGCATAATGTGGATTTTATGGTTACATATGTAAATATTATTCACAAGAAATGCCAGATACACAGAAAATTTCACCCAGCTAAACTAATCTGCTAGGAACACATACAATGTATACATGTGCACATTTCCAAAATGGACCAGCTACTTCATGTTATCAGCTGTATGCATCCACATCAGGTGCTACAATTACTTGTCCAATTTCAGAAAATCCTCCTTTCACTTCACCTGTCATGATGCAAATCTTCCATGTGCATTTCTGCAAGCAAACTTCGTCTTTGCAGCATGAAATGCCATATTTATTGCCATATTGTATTTCTCATACATATTACCTGTATAAAACTGTGCTATGGTTTGTATTAGGTTCCTGTCTTTTTGTCAGTATAAGTTTTTGGATGTTGTGCCCCTAACCCTTTTCCCCAGAAGTAATTCTTTCCCCCTTCAGTCCTATTGTTTTTATTGCACTGTTTTTAATGGCAAAGTTAAGAACACACACGATGTATTATAGTAATGCCTACAATGAGCAGACATCCTTGCCTTTTTCCTGCTCTCAGGGTGAAACATTCAATAAACCATCATTTAGCATGATTTTAACTATAGCCTTTTTATATATATCCTTTGTCAAACTGAGTAAATTCCCTTCTATTCCTAAGCTTACTATAAGTTTTGATGACAAATGGGTATTAAATTGTCAATAAATGACTTTTTCTATATCCACTGATTTTTCTATTTTATTCTGTGATTTACATTGATTGAGATTTTTTTATTTCAAGAGGGTCTCACTGTGTCACCCAGGCTGGAATGCAGTGGTGCAATCACAGTTCATTGCAGCCTCAATCTCTGGGGTCCAAGCAATCCTTCCAATTGTTTCCTGAGTAGCTGGAACCACAGGTGTGCACCACCACACCCAGCTAATTTTTAAATTTTTTTATAGAGATGAGGTCTGCCTATATTGCCCAGGCTGGCCTTTAGATTTGGGCTCAAGCAATCCTCCTTCCTCAGCCTCCCAAAGTACTGGGATTACAGGCATGAGCCACTGCACCTGGCCTGCAAGGGCTGAGATTTGAATGTTGAATCCATTTTGTATCCCTGGGATGAACTCAACTCAGTCATGGTGTGTATTGTCCTTTTTAATTATTGTGAGATTCAATTTGCTAGTACTTTGTTGAAGGCTCTGGCATCTATGATCATGAAATACACTGGCTTAATATTTTCTTTTAGTGTCTTTAACAGGTTTCAGTATCAGAGTTATTCTGGCCTCTAACACAAGTTGGTGTCTCATTTCTGGAAACGTTTGTAAAGATTGACATTATTTCTTAAATATTTTATTTTATTTCATTTCATTTTTATTTTATTTTTAGAGACAGGGTCTCACTATGTTGCCCAGGCTGGAGTGTAGTAGCTATTTACAGGCACAATCCCACTATTGATCACCATGGGAGTTTTGACCTGCTCCATTTCTAACCTGGGCCGGTTAACCCTTCCTTAGGCAACCTGGTGGTCTCCTGTTCCCATAAAGTAACCATATTCATGCTGAACTTAACGTGGAAACCCAATCAGCATGGCGCACTATAGCCCAGAACTCCTGGGCTCAAGTGATCCTCCTGCCTTAGCCTCCTGAGTAGCTGGGACTACAGGCATGTGCCACCACGCCCAACTAGTTCTTAGACATTTTTTAGACTTCACCAATGAAACTATCTGTGCAAGGTGTTTTACTCTGTGAGGTTAAAATTACAAATCAAATTTATTTATAGATTAAGAAGCTATTCATTTCTGTTATCTCTTACGTCAGTAACTTGTGTTTTTATTGAATTTGTCCATCTGTCAAATTTATTGGCATAAACTTATTTATTCAATTAATATAAATGAATTATATAATGTACACTCTTTTGTATCTTCTTTCACTTAACATGATATTTTCAAGGTTGTAGCATATTATCAGTAATTCATTCCTTTTGATGACCAAATTATACTCCATTGTATGGATATGTACAATATTTTGTTTATTCCTCAGCTGATGGACATTTATTTCCACTTTGTCTATTATGAATAACACTGCTGTAAACATTCACGGGTAAGTTTTTGTGTGGACACAAGTTCTTTCCATATTCTGCATATTAGAATTACATATTCAGTTCTCTTGGGAATATTACTAGAACTGCTGGGTAACATGCAAGTATATCATTTGATGACATGACAAACTGCTTTCCAAAAAGGCTATACCATTTTACATTCTCATCAGCAATGTATGAAGGGTCTAATTAGCCTACACCCTCTCCATCATGTGTTACTGTATTTTTTATTCATTTATTTATTTATTTTTTGAGACAGGGTTGCACTCTGTCACCCAAGCTGGACTAAAGACATGCAATCAGGTCTCACTGCAGCCTCGACCTCCCATGCTCAAGTGATCTTCACATCTCAGACTTCCAAACAGCAGGGACTATAGGCACATGCCACCACACCAGACTTTTTTTTTTTTTTTTTTTTTGTAGAAATGAATTCTCATTATGTTAACCAGGCTGGTCTTGAACTCCTGAGCTCAAGTGATACAACTGCCTCTCCCCACAAAGTGCTGGGATATAGGCGTGAGCCACCATGCCCAGCCTTGTACATCAACTCTTTGATGATAATCCATCCAGAGGGTGTGAAGGTCTTTAAAAAAATTTTTTTTTCTTTTTGCTTTTCCCTAAAAACTAGTTATGCTGAAGATCCATCCTTTCACATGTTTACTGGCCATTTATAACTTATTTACAGAAATGTCTATTCAAATCCTTTCACTAATTTTTAATTGGGTTGTCTCTTTTTATGTTATGTCCATATTCTGTACATTAAACTGTTATTAGATGATTTGCAAATATTTTCTCGC